CCCCGTCAATGGATTCCTCATAAGAAGAGCAATCTATTGGTGGGGTCACAAGTTCGGTTCGACTTCCCTTTCGCGACTCTGGAGTTCAAAACCCGTCCGACATTTTGACAGCCTTCGCCGGTCTTCTGGTTCGCCGTGCCCGGCCGCCGCCGCGCTTGTCCTTGGATGTGGGATGGCTCGGCTCACGGTGACTCGCTGACGCAGCATTTCACTCTCGTTCCCGCCGCCGACGCAGACGCAGCGCCCTCTCCCCTGTCCGCGCGACCTGCCGCCACTCGCCCCGTGCGTGCGGCTCGCTCGCACTGTCAGTGCAGTGTCAGACGCCAGCTTCTGCGGACCGTGCGCTGCTTCATCCTCGGCACGGCAGTCGCGTCCTGGCGTTCTTCCACTCGTACACCGGCTCATCCACGTGATTCTGCGCTACGGTTTAACGGTAGGCCACCTAGAAAAGAGTCCGATGTATCGTTTCGCAGTGTGTTACGAAGCATGTCTGGTTCAAAGCTTCGATTTACTTTGTCGTAACGAAGCAGACTGTTGTGGGTGTGCTTCCGCTCAGCCTCCAATAGGGTACTTTCGTAGATCCCTGAACCGGAAGCACACAGACGCCATGTTGGCGGAAGTACAGGGTGAGTTTTCTCAATGTGTCAATAATTTGTAGGTAGTTTGGGCACCCCAAGGCGATCATTTTCTACCAATGAACTAGTGGGCGCAAACGTCTAGGTACGGAGATAATTAGTGTTTTGTAATTGGCCTTTGCACCTGCGAGGTAGGCACCCGCAGCCACTGATGGTCGCAGGACCTCGCGTGGGGGTGTCGCGGGTCTAGGAGGGGTGCTTCGAGTCTCGTAGGGGTGCGGCGGACCTTGCAAATGTCTTTTGGGAGGGGTTGCCGCGGGTCTGAAGAGGCTGTCATGGTTGCCCCCGTTACAGTGGATCTCACGGCTGTCTTTGCGAGGGTGGCGGGATTCCTCGGATACTTCCGCGAGGTCAGTGGCACTCCCGCGAGTACTGCTAGTCTCGCGACACCTCCTCGACAGGTCTTGCCGTCCTCAGTGGCACCGGGTGCCTACCTCGTAGGCGCAAAATCCAATTACAAAACACCAATTATCTCCGTACCTAGACGTTTGCGCCCACTAGTTCACTGGCGAAAAATGGTCCCCTAGGGATGCCCAAACTGCCTGCAAATTATTGACACATTGAAGAAACTCACCCTGTAGATCCAAACTTGACATGGGAAAGAGACGTTCGTCAAAGGTATCGGCCACACTTGAACATAAAGAGTCGGTTGATACTTGTTTGCAGTGCATATGTGTTTCGCGAGCAATATTTGTGCAGCTCGGCTATAGTTTTGGATCCGAAGAGAGGTTAGTTTCCGGCCAATTTGGCGTCTGCTGGTCTGCTTGCTTCCGGTTCAGGATTCTACGGAAGTACCCTATACGAGTCTACTCCTCGACTACAGCCTAAAAGCCCACGAAGCATTTGCTTCGTAACTTAAAAAAAATAAAGGCATTGTAGAATTGACACTTCTAGCAGGGCCTGGAGTGAAGAACAAGAACATGAGCCGGAACCAGTTGCCAAATAACACTGGTAAAACTGAAGCGTAGTTGTACGCTTCATTCAAGCGCACAACTACGCTTCAAGACTACGCCCTTCTTGAAGCGTACACTGATAGAAAAGATGCTGTTAATTAACAGCATATATCCTGTTAAGTTTTTTAGCAACACTTGTTGTAGAAGAACGGCATATTGTTGGACACTGAGTCGTTATTCAACAGCAGTGTTGTAAAAAGGAATGATGGCTCTCTGTATCTGATCTCTGACAATAAGTTGTTGTGTAACAGAATTACCATTTCCAAATGGCACCAACCTGTTCATAAACAACACTTTTCTGTTTTCAAACAAAAAAGTTGTTATACATTTACAAAAAGAATGTCGAGGGTCCTAATAGTCTTATCCAATACTAGCAGTCATTCAGAAACGCTCTTTTCTGTTTACAAACAGCACTGTTCTTCAACGCGGTCTCTCTGTTATTCACAAAAAGGAAATAGGAGTTTCCTGACGGCTCAAACAAGACATTTGTTTTGTTACAGTTCGTGCAGTTCTTGGACAGTTCACCGCTGTTTAAAAATTGGAAGTGTTGCTAAAAAACTTTACAACACAAATGCTGTTCAGAAACAACAGAATTTATTTTGACATAGTTGGAGTTTGATTTGAGCCGTGAGCTGCAAAATGCTCCGGCAAATCTTCAATTGAATGGTGTTGTTTTTAAATGACAGGATACCGTTCCAAAACAGCATATATCATTAATTTTACAAACAAGATGTTCTGTTTTCCAGCATTGGAAATCGACTATATTTGTTGTTTTCTCCAATGATGAAACTTGCTGTTTCCTAACAGCATTTGTGCTGTTTTAAGTTCCGATGACACGTGCTGCTTAAAAGCAAATCACTCGTTGGTAAATGTGCTGTTTTCCTACAGTTTCTTTTAACAGTGTACAACTACGCTTCAAGGCAATGCCCCTCATGCATTAAGATAGCGCATGAACTCTTGTACGCTTGAAGAGAGGCGTACTGACTGTACGCTTGACGAAGGGCGTAATATTACGCCTTAGTTTTACCAGTGAACGCTTATTTCTTGATGATGGATGTTTATTCTCAATCCAAAAATTCAAGGAAGCTTAATTTAACCATACAATTTGATTTAACCTGCCGAAACCCCCGAAAATGGCAGACTTCTTTTACCGTTTCCGGTCTAAATTCTTCTTCTTGTTCTTCACGTTAGGCCCTGCTAGAAGTGTTTAAGGGGGGACCCTGGTGAAACTTTCAAGTAGGCTTCAAAATAATCCCAGAAAGTTGAAACTTTGCGTAATTATTAGGTTCATTATGGTGAGTTCCCAAAACAAAATTCAATCCAAAATGTTGAACGGTCTCTGAGAAAAGTGGCTTTTTAGTGTTTTTTTGAGCGTTGGGGAAAAATCTCCCTGCGTCTTTCAATGGGACGGAAAGTCTTGAAAATTTTTTTGGGTTATCCTAAAGATGTATTGAAGAGATTTTAGTGACGAAATTTTCAAATTCAACTTCTGTCCTGAGATATGAGTTTTCAAATTTTAACATTTAAAAAAAGTGATTTTTTTCCCTTTTTTCAAACTTTTAGGTGTGTTTTAAAAAATGTAGGCCTGATATCAAGATTCCGTCACTAAAATTTGTCGACAAGTCATCAATGAATAGAGTCCATGCAATACGACTCATGTAGATGTCAACCAGGAACGCAGGAAGTCTTTCTACGACAAAATTTTTTGTCGACTGAGCAAAGCTGTGTAGTTGAGCGTAGAAGCCAACGACAACTGATCTCAATGTTATTTCCGTCCAAATGATAAAGAAACTATCCACTTAGCTTAAAGGTGTTCAACCTGTTGAATCTGAAAGCTTCTATGCACATTTTTATCTATAAACTGTAAAAATACTATTTTTGGCAATTTTGGCGATTTTTTCACCAGGGTCCCCCCTTAATAAACACGTTTTGTGAAGAAAAGCTTCGCATTGTAGGATTTTGCGTCGTTCTAGACTATGGCGCTGGACCCACCTCGATCCCTCGAAATAATAATTGCGCCGGAAGCCGGGTCGCGTCGGCCTATCAGGAGCCTCCTTTCATCAGTGGTAGCGCCTACCCTAGATGGATGGAGGCTTCTCATTGGCCGACGCAACCCCACTTCCGGTGCATCTGTTGTTTCGAGGGATCGAATACCTTCCTATTTACTTTTTCGCAGGATGTAAGGTATTTTAGGAAGAATTGGTTACTCCAATGAATCTTGAAACGGTACATAGCCAGTTGAAAAGCATAAAAATTGACGTCCACTCCAAATGTCTCACAAAGAAATTTCCCATAATACTAAGGAAATGGCGCAAGCATAATACGAAGGTGGTTTTTCGTCGTATTACGAAGGTTTTTCTTTGTATCTTACTTTGAAAAAGCTAATAAGATTCGTATTACGAAGGAATATTGCTTCGTATCATGGTTGCGCCGAATTCACTGCAACATACGAAGAACATAGGTCAAATTTCATTGTAAGACATTTGGAGTGTCTAGGACTCACATGGAAGGTGTCCGACTACTAGAGTTGTCGTAAGTGGACGTTATGGCCAACAGAGCATGCAACAGTCGCCCCGACAATAGGGTACTTTCGTAGAATCCTGAACCGGAAGCAAGCAGACCAGCAGACGCCAAATTGGCCGGAAACTAACCTCTCTTCGGATCCAAAACTATAGCCGAGCTGTACAAATATTGCTCGCGAAACACATATGCACTGCAAACAAGTATCAACCGACTCTTTTTGTTCAAGTGTGGCCGATACCTTTGACGAACGTCTCTTTCCCATGTCAAGTTTGGATCTACTTCCGCCAACATCGCGTCTGTGTGCTTCCGGTTCAGGGATCTACGAAAGTACCCTATTTGGGATGTTGTGCGGGACCAGAAACGAAGAAAAACTCTTTAAACTCCGCAATATTCTGGCTGCCTTCGTGAAATTTGGTCTTGGTGGACTCGTGGGCTTTAGTTAAGGGAAAAAAATAATTTCTCTATTTTAGCTGCTTGTACGCAATGTGGTGGAGCCGAAAAACCGACTTCGGAAAATTTTATCTATGATCGCTCCGATTGTACGTCCGAACAAACGATCATTGCTAATCCGGTGGCAAGTTTGCTTGCTTGTCACTATAATGGCAAGCCCTTTTGAATGCTGAAAATTGGGGAGCTTTGGACCAGGAATCTTTATCAGGTAGCCAATATCTAGCGGTCGGACTGCCAGGAATACCAAACATTGGCAAGCTACGGAATATTTCAGGACCAGGCTTTCAAATTTTTGGCATTTTGCAGTGGAATTTCTATGCAGAGCAGTTGGGCTAAGTCCTGCACTCTTGCGCGTATGCGTGCTTTCCGTACTTATTGGTCCGACATTCCGAGCGAATTTGTGTGATTCCGCTTACAACTTTTCACTCTTCAAATTTCTTAGGAAGAATTTCACGTTAAACATTGTACGGGATTGTGTGCCGCGCGACGTTCCGAATTTGTTGAAATACATTTGGTGAGTGCACTCTTCAAACTGAACTGTTTGCCCAGTACACTGTATTCTCTGTGATCTCGTGTACTCACAAGTTCACTCCCACGAGAGTGTGCTCAGATGAGGGCACTCACACGAGAGTGTACTCACTCACCTGAGTACACGCTCTCGGGAATGTTCACGTGAGTACACGCTAAAGATACTATACTCGAGAGCGCACTCTCAAGAGAGCTTACACTGGTGAAACAAAGGCATTAAAATTATGCCCTTTAAGAGCATTAACGATTTACGCCCTTAAGGGCATTAAAATTTTGCTTGAAATTCCTATACCGTTTACGCCCTTTGCGGGGACATGAAACTATTTATGCCCTTGGGAAGGGCGTAAAAGATTATTTATGCCCTTAAGGGCGTAATATTTTTTATGCCTTTGATTTGCCAGTATAGTTGGGTTTGCAGAGTGGCGCAATGCTGATTCTTACCCTTTCCCCTCCGTGTTCCAGTCCCGCTGCACCGGCTGGCTCCGCGCCCCGCCATGGCCTGCCAGGACAACGCCACCGTGGGCGTGGACGACCTCCCCGACGAGCTGCTGGTGCTGGTCTTCAGCAAGCTGGCCGACGGCGCCACACTGTTGGACGTGCTGCCGCTTGTGTGCAAGCGCTGGTGCCGCTTGGCGTGCGACCCGGCCTCCTGGGCGGGGGTGCGGATTGTTGTCGGCGACCTAGAGGGTCACGAGGCCCGCGTGCTTCTCCACGCACCCGCCGCCAAGACCCTCGAGTTCGGGTTAACATACTCAATCTCTGACCACTTTCGGATGCGGGCGCTGCGGTCTGCCCTGCGCCGCAGCCGCGTCGCGGTCCACGGCACCATATCGATCCCGGAGGAAACCTCCGTGTTCCTGCAGGAGAAGTACTGGGGCGATCCGGGAATCTCCATCGCCAACTTCCTGGCGCGCCAGAAGGACCTGCGCGAGCTGCGGCTGTTCCTCTGGCACATCGACGAGGACCGCATCTTGCTCGTCATCGCGACGCTGCGCCGCTTGCACAAACTTGACTTGGTGACGGTGCAGGATCTGCAGTACGAGGATCAGCTAGCCGAAGGGCTGCCTGAGCTTCGAGAGCTGTGGCTCCGCTCGAGTCCCCGCCCACCACGGCACTACTGGTACTACCAGCGATCCCCCACTGTCGGCCTCCTTGCCGATTTGGTGCGTGGCGCGAGGGCGCTGCGCGTGCTTCACACCGACGTGCCCCACGGCTGGGACCTAGAAGCGTGCCTGGAGCTGCATGGCCTACAGCGCCTTACACTATTCTCTCGGTCGGGAACCTACTACACTCATGACCAGCTCGACCAGCTCGAGCACCAGCTCGACCAGCTGGTGAGTGAATTTGCCTCCCAGATGCCCGACGTCGATTTGCAGGTGCTCGTCGTCGGATTGGACCGGAGTGGACTGGCCTGACCGAGTCCGAGATTTTCAAATCCACTGGATCGGACGGAAGACGACTTGGAGTGATTCGTCCTTCTTGAACTCGTCTGTGTATCCGCAATGTGTGATGGGGGCTCTAGCAAGCTCAAAGATTAATTTTTTTAGAGTTGATTGCAACCTGACCATTTGTTCATTTCAAGGTGTTTTTGTAGTGTTTTTGGGAGTACTTATTTCTACTTTTAGAGCTTACGGTTTCATTTAATGTTATGTACTACCGTCTCATATCTTGTAGGAGTGATCTCATCAAATATGTATATGACATCTCTTGTAGCCTGTGTTCTCTTATTAAATTTATTTTTACACCTGATTGAAGATTGTACCATTCCCTATGAATTATTAGTACGTTGGTTTCCTCCGCACCAACTCCCGCCAATTCCCCTTCCCTCGCCCGGTTTCTCACATTGTCCCGAGGGCCAATCGAAATGGTATCAAATCTAGAAATAGAGTTCGTACACGTCAACGCTTGCAGCTATTTGAGGGATGTCCAAGAATCTTCTGTTTGCATTAATTACATACAGTAAATACTGCATACGTGCTTTGTATACATAAACCCATAAACTACGCACATGACATGGACTAAACAGCACATGTGTCGTACACATGCCCATGCATGCAGTATAACCTGCCCCCATGTGGGCGACATACTACAGACATTGATTATTTAAGACATAACACTAAAGACAGTTTAAGGACACCTTTATTCTAAGCCTGTACGTAAGGTAAATAATAAAAAAGGTAATATTTATATTTGTATACGATTTCAGGAAATCCGAGGACTCACGAAATTTGGTTATTGAGTAAGAGTGTGGAGAAAGGAAAGAAGTGTACACTAAATTCTTATGGACTTTTTTGTGCATAGTTATGCATGCACAGATACGTCCATATGTTGTGTATAATACTATGCATCACTGTGTACATTTTATGCAGGAAGATGCATAAGATGTACACAGTGATGCATAATATTATACATACCTTATGGACGTTTCTGTGCATGCATCACTATGCATAAAACAAGTCCATAAGAATTCAGTGTGCGCGCATGTCCAAAAACACTCCGATCAGGAAGTATTATTCGATAGCTCTACCCGAAAAACTGCGTTCGAAAACGACATCAAATCTATTGTTGCATCTTCTCTAGCTGCAAGAGATTTTTCATTCCGAACGTGCTTTTCCAGCTTTTGAAGTAAGCTGTACAGAAGCGAAAAGAAGCTCGGCTATTAGTCCGCTCCAGATGTTAACGCCAGGCGTGGATTGTCGGAACTGGCGCAGCATCGCGATACAGTGTTGCCAGATCGAGGAAAATTTCCCATTTCGTGGGAATTTTTAAGGCCCGTAGGAAAAAAATTTGCAAATGTTCTTCGTTAAAAATAGCCCAAAACGCTTGTAATGGGAAAAACAGAGACGAAAAGGGAAATTTCACAGGAGTTGGAGGGAAAAACGAAAAATCCCTTCTGGCAACTCTCGGGAAGCCTGTCACGACAAGCCACTGTCTGGCGTACACCTACCTTGTTATATGACTAGCAAATGGCAAGGCCTATAGGCTTCGTCTTTTTGTGTGTGTGTGTCGACTAAATTGACAACAAACATTCATCCTAAAAACCCTTTTGTCTCATTACATTCCATTTTTGAATTTTTCCCAAACTGACGCTGACACGACCACGACAGCACCTGGCATCCACTACATCAATATATATCAGGTATAATTTAATTCCACAATGTTCCTTTGTTTACTGTTTTCCTCTCATTTGGACACCACTCTCGCACTTCCCGTAAGACTTTCCTTTCATTTCTCCCTGTGATATGTTTTTCTCCGTTCCTTTCGGCCAGCTATCTTTGCCTTTAGCAAGTTGTCAATCCTTCAAAGAGGCACAGGAACAGCCCCCTTGCATGTAATAAAAGAAGGGTCCTCAAAAAAGTATGGCTGCTCTCTGAGTTGGGAAAAGACAGGTTGAGCTGGCCTCAGCCAATAATCGTGATTGCTGTTAAAAATTTTGCTTGGACAGAGGGACAGTTGGTGATTTTGAAGTTGATAAGGGTTCAAGAATTAGGGGGTAAAATCTGTCACGATTAGGTTGTGCAAAGCCTTTTATGTTAGAATCATATCAGAAGCACAGAATGAAATTAAAAGTCAGCAGATGGAATGTCAAGTCAATACTAGGTCTTGAACAAGAGCAGGACCAATATCAGCCCAAGTTCTAACACAGACACTTTAATATGTTAAAGCAAGGTATAAAATGAATTGATGTTTCCCAATGAAACGTTGTGGAGAGCAGGTCTGAAGTAAAGCAAACCCTCTCTTGTATAAATAAAGTCTCTCCACTGTGAATCCAAAGGCAATACTTTTAGTACCTTTTTTTGGCGATACAATCGAGTATCGCCAATTAACGGCATTACGGAAAAGTATTGCCTTCAAAATCGCGATAACAAAAGTATCGCCAAAATTTGGCGATACTTCGGAGTACTGCCACGATTTGGCAATAAACGTCGAACAAATCAAGGGCACAAGACCTTGGTTAAATGCCGTTGTTTTGGCATTACCCAAAAGTATCGCCAAATTTTGGCCATACTTTTGTGTATCGCCGTTCTGAAGGCATTACTTTTCCGTAAGGCCGTTTATTGGCGATACTCAATTGTATCGCCAAAAAATGTCCCTTAGTATCGCCTTGGCATTTGCAGTGTCTCTTTTGTATACCTATAAAATCGGCTTCGCTTGTGTTTTCAGGGTGACCTGTCATCGTAGTTGTGGCGGAACCAATCAGAATGTCGGACCAGCCAGCGAAACCGAAATCAGTGTCTTACAGTAAGTATTTCTACTTCTCGTGCCGTAAAGTTAATCAGGGTTACCTTAAGATTAAATGTCCTGGGACTTATTTTGTTCCATGGATGGTGCACAATTTAAGGGGGGACCCTGGTGAAAAAATCGCCAAAATTGCCAAACATAGTATTTTCAAAGTTCATAGATAAAAATGTGCATAGATGGTTTCAAATTCAACAGGTTGAACACCTTTAAGCTAAGTGGGTAGTTTCTTTATCATTTGGAAGGAAATGACATTAAGATCAGTTGTTGTTGGTCTCAAAGCTCAACTTCACAGCTTTGCTCAGTCGATAAAAAATTTTGTCATAGAAAGACTTCCTGCGTTCCTGGTTGACACCTACATGAGTCGTCTTGCATGGTCTCTATTCATTGATGACTTGTCGACAAATTTTAGTGACAGAATCTTGATATCAGCCCTACTTTTTTTTACAAACACTTAAACAACTTAAAAGTTTGAAAAAGGGGGGGGGAAATCACCTTTTTTTAATGTTAAAATTTGAAAACTCATATCTTAGGACAGTAGTTGAATTTGAAAATTCCGTCACTAAAATCTCTTCTATACATCTTTAGGATAACCCGAAAAAATTTTCAAGACTTTCCGTTGCAATGAAAGAAGCAGGAAGATTTTTCCCCAACGCTCTAAAAAACACTAAAAAGCAACTTTTCTCAGTGACCGTTCAACATTTTGGATTGAATTTTGTTTTGAGAACTCACCATAACGAACCTAATTATTAAGCAAAGTTTCAACTTTCTGGGATTATTTTGAAGCCTACTTGAAAGTTTCACTAGGGTCCCCCCCTTAACACATACGTATGGTAATGTTACCAAACATGGATCACTTTTTAGAAATGTCACGTATTTCGGCTCAAACAAGCGATGACCTAAATTTTCTTCGACACACTTCAAGATTACCACAAAGGCAACCTTCTACCAAGAACTGTGCATTTAATAACAAATACTTTGAAATTTACAGGGCTTTGAAATTTCACTGATTTCAGCGATCCATGTTTGGGTCAGACCCTAACATGGATCCCCCCCCCCCCCCGTGTTTTGACAGGGGCGATCCGAAAACTTCCGGTCGCCTAAATTTTCAAAGGGTACACTCTGAAGGTGCCACGAAAAATTTTTGTGACATTTCTGATGAATGAAAAAAGTCCATATAGGTCTGAGAGTGCATAATTTGTTGGTGCACCCTTTCACCCCGTAAGACATTTAGAAGTGACCTCGAAATCGTTTCAAATTGAAAGTTGCCTTGCCCCAGACGCTGCCCGCGGGCCGTGCACGGTGTGCGCCGAGCCGGGCCTTCCCTGCTCGCGCTGCCGCGTGGACTACTACTGCGGCAAGGCGCACCAGAAGGCCGACTACCACCGCCACCGCAAGGGCTGCGGCGTGCTGGAGATGCGCAGCAGCCCCGAGCTGAAGCGCCACCTGGTGGCCACGCGCGACATCCCCGCCGGCACGGTCATCATGAGGGAGCTCCCGCTTGTGTGCTTCCCGCGGCCCTACCTGCTGCCCGGCCAGGTGAGTCGCGGACCGGCAACCCAAGGGGAAATAACTATAGTCAAAGTTGTACACTGAAATTCATCGAATTTGTAAAATTCTCTGAAAATTGTTAAAATTTATCGAAATTTGATCGAACTTCATCGAATTTCGACTGATTCATCAAATTCCGACTGAAATCCATCGAAATTCGACTGAATTCGATTGGATTTGTACACCGAAATTCACAGTGATTTTCCCTTGCGTCAACCGGCAGTCGCAGAGCCCACTCATGCACACTCTAAATTTAAGGGTACCGTGAAGGCGGGTAATATGGACCTCCAATAATGTGGATCACCCCTAAAACTCTTCTATGGGATCGGTGATGCCGCCTACCTGTGGCATGGTAAACCGTTTCGGCCATTAGCATCCGATTTTGGAAGTTCCTTGGCTCGAACCGATCATCTAGGAAAATTTCTGGGGGGGGGGAAGAGGAGTCCATTGGCCGGCGGAGGTAAGCGGTTTTGAACCGGCCGGCGGGAGGTAAGCGGGTTTGAAACGGCGGCCGCGCGGTACGCGGGTTTGTTTCGTCGCGCTGAAGATGGGCGGTTCTTCCGCTCGCGTGTCGCATTACCCGCATTTGCGGAACTCTTAAAGTGATATTATCTCCCCCCCCCAAAAAAAAAGAATCTTGCAAGTGAACTCCGTCCAATTAGATCATTTGAGACGGATACGAGTGTGAGCTGAACGTATTTCTGCGCGCACTATTGCCTTCTTTGTTCTTTTATCTTCGAGTTAAGGTCAGTTTAATCTCAAATTATATTGATTTGAAGCTGTATCAAATGATCAAACTGAGTTGAAAGTCACGTGCCTTTTAGATTTGTAGATCAGATTCTTTTGGGGGAAGATCTTTTGAATACGACCCGTCAAAATGTCTAACGAACGAAAAGCTTTTCCTTAAAACGAAGGAAATGGCGAAACCATTGTACGCAGTTCCTCTTCCTTCGTAATACAGAGGTTTTTCTTTGCATCTCATAACGAAAATACTAAAAGGATTCGTATCGTGGAGAAACATTTCTCCCTTTTATGCTTGCGCCGAATTCACTGGACGAAAGTATACTTTTGTAAATATAGCTTCTTCAGATTTTCCGTATGGACCTGTGATGGCGATACGCGATTCTGCCTCCCAATAAGGTCTCAAGAATCGGCTTTGGATTAACACTCTAAATTTGACATATGTTATTTGTATTGTTACAGTGAATTTCGCGCAAGCATATTACGAGGTATTATTTATTCGTAACACGCATCTTTCTAGCTTTTTCAATGTAACATACTAAGAAAAACATTCGTAACACGAAGAAAAACCACCTTCGTAGTAATGCTTGCGCCATTTCCTTCGTATTATGGGAATTGTATTGGGATTGTTAAAGTCGCTTTGGACGTTACAGGTGGTTTATCAGCGGAAATGTTTCCAATTTACGTAACTGTTGTTGGTCGTTGCAGATGCTGTGCGTGGTGTGCTGCCGGCAGCTGGCGGGGAGCATCTCGGCCTGGCGGCAGTGCGGCGCGTGCGGCTGGCCCGTCTGCGGCGTCTCCTGCGCCCAGGCAGACGTCCACCGCGCCGAGTGCCAGGCCTTCCAGCGAAGCGGCTTCAAAGTCAGCAAGGGTGAGGCCGCTGTGGACCTGCTCGCTCATCCCGGGAACGTGACGTCACGTTGCAATGAATGTGACAAAATGTCACATTCGTTGTGGACACAGTGCTCGTGACATTTTGTCACATTCTTTTCAACGTGATGTCACGTTCCTAGAATGAGAGTGTTCTGTGCATTCTCTTAACCTTCTAATCTATGTCAGACTAACTTTGACAAACCTCAGACAAACCCGACAAACCTTTCAGACTAGCTGTTGCGCAAAGTATGTTGAGCATTCACATGGCGTTTCAAGAAAATATCTCGTATTTTCCGAACTATTTCTTCTGACAGCAAACTCAATAGTTCGTACCTTGCATATGCTCCAAATACCTCTTGAGGTTTCAAGCGTGTGTGTGCCATCATAAGTTGTGGAGAGAAATGCATCATGGGCCAAAGTTGGCGAATCGTAACCCCACTTCTGTTGTTAAAGAATATTGTGTACTCTGAAAACCTAACCTCTTGAAATGAAGGCGCAGAATTGCTTCGTATTACGAAGGATTTTGCTTCATAATACAAAGCATTTCTTCGTAGATTTTTCAATGCCTTCATTTTCTTCGTATAACGAAGCTATGCTTCGTTGCGTTTTTGCTGTGCATGTATATTCAAAAACTCGGTAAGGTTTGAAGCGTGCGCTCATAATGTGACTGTTTTCTGGTGTGACAGGTGACCTGAGGCGCGTGGACGCTGACTGGATGAACGCCCTGTCCACTCTCCGCACCTGTCTGGCCGCGGACACACTGCCGCAGCTGCGAGACCTCCAGGACCACTTGAACTCGGACGACGCGCTGAAGAGCTGCGTAAGTGCACCAAGCATCGTTTTGAAACACAATCAAAATTTTAAAATGTGCGACGCATATTACGAACGAAAAGTCCAACGCAAGGCATTTCTTTTTATTACGCTGCACCAAGACACACAGCTCTCCTACTTTTACCTCGGTTCCAAAATTACTACCCTCAGTGCGCAGATTATTAAAGTACATACTTGCAGGCGTGGACCTGCACTTGCAAAATGGTGGACCAGTCATGTCCTGCCCTTGGAAATGTCGATCACACCTTGTCCTACGCCGGGAAGCGCTAGACACAGTTTGTTCAATGATCGGTACCAGACTTATGCTCTCAAGTACTAAGACTCGGTGTGCACTGGTAAATCAAAGGCATAAAAATTACGCCCTATAGGGCATAAATACTCTTTTACGCCCTTGCAAGGGCATAAATCGATTATGCGCTTGGGAAGGGCGTAAATGGTATAGGAATTTCAAGCAAAATTTTAATGCCCTTCCCAAAGGCATTAACGATTTATACCCTTTAAGGGCGTAAATCGTTTACGCCCTTTAAGGGCATAATTTTAATGCCTTTGTTTCACCAGTGTGGTCGACACTTTGCAAGCGTAGGACAAAGGGTGTCCTCACTTAGACGTCGGACTCAACTGGTTGACACTTGAAAGTGTAGAACATTGTGGTCTACGTCTTCAAGTGCACTCTGGATACCTTCCGAACTCTTTCAGACTTAGGAAGTGATGTAGCTTGATGCAACGAAGTATTTTGAGCTTACGCGAGCTTTCAAAGAAAACAGTTTGTGACTAACGAAAGATCTCTTCGTATTTCGAACTTAAGTTTGTACGTTACGAAAGCTGAAAATTCTTTCTCAAGGTTTTAAGCGTGAGTGTGGTAAACTTGGATGAGCAGTGTGCAAGTGTCTCGCTTGCAGCCGGCCGACCAGATGGGCATGCTGATGGCCATGACGTTCGGGCGGAACCGCGTGTTCGACAAGACGGTGGCCTGGCTGCAGCAGAAGGCGGGCATCACGTGGATCCCGGCGGACAAGCTTCGCCGCGCCGTGGCGGCCAATCAGATCAACGGCTTCTGCGACGACACGACTGGCGGCGGCCGCGCCGTCGGCGGACTGGCCGTGAGTACTCCCCTCACACTGTGAGAAAAAAGTACAGAAAAAGTACGGAACATGTCTGGTCAATAATTTGCCTGGACCGTCCGTACTTGCCAACTACGGATCTTCCGTACTTTTTTTTCGTACCCGTTTACATGGGTTCATATGGAGCAAGTACGGACGTTCCGTACTTTTCTCCGTACCTCCGTACTATATTTTTCTGTACCATTTCCGTACAAAAGTATGGAATTTTTTGTAGTGCAGTGTGGACCGAGCGGGTGCACTGTTACTCAGGGGTGCTCTGAAAGTTGGCGTCTTATGACGCTTGCCTGAGTTTTTGCAAGCGCCTCCAGGCGACTCGCGAAAAGGCGCCTAAAATGCCTGACTACGAGGCGCGCTAGGCGCTAAGTTTCGAGACACCTTTGGTCCAGATACGTACGTAAGGTGTGTATTATATCATGAATCACCGTGTACATTTTGTCCATCTTCCTTCATAAAAATATTAATATACACAGTAAAATGAAGCACGCCTTACGTACGTATCTGTGCCTGCATGAATCTGTATAAAAAGTCCTCAAGAAATTATTGTGAATCGCTCCGTCAGACTCTCCTTTCCCTCATAGCTTCGGTCTTGTTTTGTTGCGTATTGTTCCCCGTGCTTCGAATCATGTCCGGTCATTTCGTCTTGGAGAAATAATTTTAAATTTCAGTGGACGAATTTCTGAATTCCACGTGAATTGCGAATGAATTTCAATGAACAGCTGTCCAATTTCCTTGAATCTCGGCACAAACTTTACTGATTTATGAAGAATTTATGTGGATGTCGACTTATTTTCATGAATTTTCGCGAAATTGAATATGTACATGAATTTTGGGGCTCATAACTTTTTGGAGTTGTTTCCCCTTGATTTTTGTTGTTGTCTTCAGCGTGGGGCGCTGTACTCCGGCCTTTGCATCCTGGAACACAGCTGCGCCTCCAACACCTACATGCTCCTGGAAGTGGACGAGACGGGCCAGAGGCTCGTCATGGTGTCGAGGGACGTCAAGAAGGGCGAGCACCTCTCTGTCGACTATCAGGTAACTTTTTATTTATTTTTTCCGCGTGAAATGTCACCGATTTAATGCCTCACAGCAACGGGATAGGACGGAACTCGGTGATGTTTTCTAACGCTACTTCCGCGTGGAAAGGAGCTCGGTGACTTGCAGCTTCCAAAAATGTCCATGTTACCTGTAACTTTTGAAAAGACTAGTAGTGGATTTTGGCATTGCACGACACACACTGCAAGAAACAACCACAACAAAAGTACATAAATTTCTGGCAATTTTTTTCTCAGGAATTTATTGCACTTACAAAGTACATTGTTCTACAAAGTACAATGGAACCGGCATCAGGAGTTCTGTGCAGTCCAGGCCTCGTTGTGGTTTGTGCAATTCTCGTCGTACTTTCTACAATCCCTGTTGTACTTTTGGTGTACAATTTTTGTTTTACATATGTTGTACTGTTCACACATTTTCTTGCAGTGGCATGCATTCTTTTCGTAGTCATTTTTATTTGCCTCACCATTCTAGTCATCTTCGCTCTTAAAACCGTGCGAAGTATTTTGAGCATACGTATAACAAACTAAAATACTTTGTTCCTTATGCTCAAAATACTTTGTTCTACAAACTACTTTTCTTTGTAAGGCCCAAAATACTTTGTAAGGTTTTCTCTGTGTTAAAAGTGATTTCTTTTTTGCCATTAACGATCCCGCCTGTTTTACTTACGTCTTCAGGACTGTCCTTTCCGGTCCATGTCGGAGCGTCGGCGGGACTGCTGCACCAGAGGCTTCCTGTGCCGCTGCGTCTTGTGCGAAGACCCCACGGAGCTGGGGCTGTACCTGAGCTCCCCTTGCTGCAAGCGCTGTTCAAGTAAGCCCTACTTTACTACCGTGGACGCGGACACGAGACAACACTGCTACACACTAAATGTCATGAGACATTTTTTGTCCCACGATTTATGCAATTTTAAGCACATCCGACGCTGATACAATTTTGTTTCCGTCTGGTGACTCATTTTGTCCGACGCCTGCAGCAAATTGTACTTTCACTTGACAATTTGTACTACCTGGTGGGCACAAAATTGCATCACCACCGGATGTGCTTAAAATTGTATCATACATGGCACAAAAAAACCATGACATTTAGTGTGTACTCAGCGTCACTGTGAGGTCTATGAGAGGAAAAGAGTCTTGATCAATGCTCGAAAATCCCCAAATTCGGGTGAGGATCATTTCATCGCCCAAATTTGGGTGAGGATCATACTATCATCCAAATTTGGGTGAGGAAGGTTTCCTCAGTCCCGTATGTGTGTTAAATAATAACTATCGAGTTAGCTAATACTCCCGTTATCATCCAAAATTTTAGTCGTGATTATCATTATTTTCTTCTTTGTGACGTCGCACATTCGTTACAATGTGAACTTGGTCACGTTGACTGGGATGTCACATTCGTCTAAATCTCGTTCAAAACCACGTGACATTACTGAACGGCCCTCCCACATTCCAACGAATGCGACATCATATTCAAACGCCAACGCGACTAAATTCACACTTAAACGAATATAACATCACATCTGTTGCATAATATAGGATGCTTTTTGCAATCCGCGACTAAATATGTTACGTCAAGAAGAGACGTCGGCGGTCGCAAGCAAAACGAATTTCATTGACATGTAGACAGAATTTAGCTATTCAAACTCAGAATATTTTCCACATACATTTTCCATGTCTTCAATCAACCGAATTTCAATCATTTTCCCCAATGATTGTCACTGGAAGACATCTTAACTGACACACTTTAACTTGTAAGTCGCTCGTTTCATTATAGTCAGCTAAGGGGTAAAGTTGGGGAGGGATAGTAGTTACAGGTTTGGATAAGCACACACGCTCATTCTCCCTGTGTCTACATACTTTAGGGAATCTCAACATCGGACAGGCAGGGTTTGCTCTCGGATTTTCATGTCAAGTTGAAATAATCAACCCTGAACTTTTCTTCCCAAACTTTACCTCTTTTTAAAATGTCTTTTCTTCCCCAACTTACCCCTTCTTAAAATTTTCCAAGTGGACCATACATCAGTCAATAACCGTCACTCTATTTTCAATTGTTAAGAGCGCGAGAAGATGACCTACATCGATGGAAAGTGCGGTGGCTGTGGCGAGGAGACGGCAGTCACCATGGCTGAGCCCAACGCAGAGTTTCGGCGCCTGCAGGCACAGGTGAGTACAACCTACACTGGTAGAAAAGAGTACATAGATTAAGTTCAGCACAAGTCTGGTCATTAATTATTTGCCCGGACCGTCGTCACCTGTCACTTTGAATCTCGTACTGTGTTTTTGTCTAATAAACGTGTTGGCTCACTGTAGCATGTGCCTTCATGTCCTGTTTTTTGTTGTAAATGAGTCCGTGCAGTGCGAGACCCATTTTGAGGAAAGCACTACCAGAACCTCCTCTAAATATCTGAACGAGATTTTGCTTCGCTTGGTGAACCATGTTCATCGGTCGGTGTTCTGCTCCAGGACAACCCACGGCGCTGGGAGCGTTTCGTTGAGCAGTTCCTGTGGCCGAAGGGCCCCCTGCACCCGACCCACTGCATGGTGCTGCACGCCAAGATGCAGGTCGTTGAGGCACTGGAGAGATCTCAGCTGGGATATCAGATTCTGCTCACCACCGATGGTAACTTTCTGTCTGCTCAGCAAGAACTCAACAGTGTACTCAGCACGCTCTCTTCGGCTTGTAATCTACAAACTCAAGAGAGTGCATGGCATGCTGCACCTAGGAGTCAACCACACTGCAAATCCAAGTGCATGCCTGTCCCACACTTGGATTTGCAGTGTTTTTTTTTTTTAAATCACAAGTTATCACTTAATGCAGAAAATTTTAACCGTAAAACCGGTTGATGTTTTCTACCGGAAAATTGACCCGTTACGCAGCTGCCCTATGTATGACTGATGTCTATCGGAGAAGTGAATCACTAGTGCACTCAGGTGTACAAATTTGTCTGTACTCAGTGTACTCACAAGTTTTAAAAAAGTTCAAATTTTGCTAATTTTTTTGCACGATTTAGCGTTGCATTTCGTTTTACACTCCAAATAGAGCCTTAAAACGTTTCTAAATGTGAAATTGATGAGATTAATGAGGTGTTCTCACCCGTGCCCGTGTGTACACTAGAACTCGGGGTGATTCGCCCCTCGTGTCTGTCACTCGCCCATTCTGTGTAACCATGTGTGTCTCTCCGCGCAGATGAGGCCGTCCGCTGGGAGTCTCTCTGCGGCGACGTGCTGCGTGCCCTGGAAGTGATCCGCCCGGGCGCCAACGCCTACACGCAGAGCGTGCTGCTGGCCACCTACCACGTGAAGGGCCTGCAGATGAAGAAAAGCCTCGCGGGCCCACGCAGCCGGACCCACAACATGGTATGGTGGCGACACTATTTCGAACTTAGCTTTTCTTTCATGTAGTTGCATTAATGGGCCTCATCTGATTTTAAGTTGGTCAATTAAAGTTCGCCAAGCTACTTAATTGCTTTTCTTTCTATAGTTGCATTAATGGGCCTTATCTGATTTGAAGTTGGTTAAAGTTCATCAAGTTACTGAAATCAGCCCAATTTACCAACAATCTTTGAATTTCTCGAGTGGCCAGGTTTCGAGACGTGTGATCGATAACTTAAGGGATACTCTTGATTTTTTAAATCTTTTGCAGGATATGGCGAGGGATTCCGTGAAGATTATCCTGCAGCTGGAGAAAATGATGATCGCCGGAAGGGCCAAGGAGGTCCTGGAAGAACTGAAGAGTGACTGGAAGGACGTCTTCGCGATGCCCAAGGAGCGTTTCGACGCGTTCATCGCTGGCTGAAGGCGCACTCGCTGATCCCGGTTTCATGCGCCCTGACTGAACCACTCACCCCTTCTTTGATATTCTTTGTTAAAGGTTTCCTTGTAATGTGTCTTGAAATTGACAATTTTTTTTCTTTTTGTTTAAGATTACTGTTAACTGGATTCTGAAAGATTTTTTTTTGTTTAAAGATTACTGTTAACTGGATTTTGAAAGATTTTCAAGGTTTCCTTCTTATTGTTTGAAGTAATCGCAATTTACGCAACTGAATTATAGTAGACTTACATACTGTATTGCTTCTTTTACTGTATCCTTTGCAGAAGACACGCTTGAATTCTTTAAAATAGGCTGCTTACACAAGTGCACAGGCGAATACTGAGCGGGCAACGGCCTCACCTTCATCTCAAGACCTCCGAGTCACCTGCAGGAGTTGACGCGAATGTCGTAAATTAATAATTAGTAATTTGTGAGGGATGTTGGTTCCAGGAAAGTAGTCAAAGGATGACGCTTTGAAATGGATTAGTTAACTTTATTCAATCAAAGTTCTGGTCTGCGTTGAGGAGTACTGGCGCAAGCGAAAAACCAGCCTTCCAGATCAGATGTTACAGAAGTAGAATGTCAATAAGGATTATTGAAAGGTACTAGGAGTGAAGATAAAGGGTGAGAGTAAAGATAAACTGTATTGACTTGAATCCGTCGCGTTAAAATGTTTGTTGAGACGCAGGCACTAATTTAAAAGTCCACGAACGGGAAATCTCTTAAGGTTAACTTGGGCTCGGCGTCATCGCGAGAGAAGAGGTGGCGGAGAACCACATGGGTCGCTTCCAAGATTTCCTGCTTGAGTGCATCCAGGTCTCCCTGGAACTGGAACAAACAGACAAAAAATCTCATTCAACGAACGCTAATGAAAGCAGATGATACTCGTTTAGTTTTCTTCTACGGGGTAGTATGGGCTCATTCCAAAGATAGTATTGAATAGCGGACGCGAATCCCCTCTGCGCTGTAGGCGGGGAGAGAAAGTCAAGCCATTGTTGACGTCCGGCCGCTGGCGCTGTGCCGAAGAGGCATTGTCGAATTTCGCGCAGGCTGCGCGTCAGGCACGAACGCACCACCCGCCCCCGGGAGCCAGCTCCTATTATATTGTTGGTTTCTGGACTCTCGAGTAAAAGCTAGCTGACACCTTTATGTGTCTTGTAGTTTTAGGTCTGTTAAAGGTAAAGGTATGAAAGGTATCACCTGCTAAAAAACTGGAAACAAGGATACAATGACGATATCACAAACAAAAACTTGCCCACTTAACAACTATGATCATTTAAATGCAAAAGCTTACTCAAGGGGAAATAACTTCAGAAAAAAATGTACACTTGAATTAAAATTCAAAAAAATTCATTAAAATTCAAAAAAATTCATTAAACTTTCACTGAAATATTGCAAAAACTTCACCCAAAAATTAAAAATTTACAAAAATTTATTGAAGTTTAAAAAAATTTATTGAAATTCACAAAAATTCTTAAAATTTACAAAAATTCAAAAATTCTTTAAAATTTTCAAAATTCAAAGTATTTCTTAGAAAATTTATTAAAAATTTAGCAAAATTCGCCAAAATTCATTCAAAAAATTCAATGTAATTCATTAAAATTCAATAAAATTCACCAAAATTTGTAAAAATTCACTAAAATTCAAAAAAAATTTCAATAAAATTCAAAAAATTCACTGAATTTCAAAAAATTTAATGAAGTTCACGAAATTAATTCATTTGTACACCGAAATTCAGAGTTATTTCCCCTTGAGCTTACTTGCCCAAAATTGAGCACACATCTGAAAATGCACGAATTTGTGCGGAACTAAGCACGAATGTGTGCGCTGTTGGGCATGACATTGTGCATTTCGCGCGCATGTTTGGTTTCGTCCAAACACTACGCAGAACGAAAGTACAAAATGGAGTGAGTGGATGGAACGACCCTGGTAAAAAACACTCATCACACTAAATTTTTGTGGACTTTTATGGGCAAAATTATGCATGCACAGAGATACGCACGTTATGTGTGTATTTTATAATGCATCTATGCAGGAAGTGCATAAAGTCTACTCAGTGATGCATACGGTTATTAACACCGTGATTAAGGGGGAGCTCATACATGTTAAAAGCACTTAATAAAAACATTTTATGATTTCTGCATTAAAACGCTTTTAGATAATTGAGCAAGCTTCATTTTGGCTTAAAGTAAAGTGAATTTGGACATTTTTTTTTGGAAATTTAGAAGAAACGTTGAAAATTTTGGTTCTCACAAGATTTTGTTCGCTTGCGCATACTTGCTCAGATCTGTGGGGGAATAATCAGTAGGGTGGTCCGAAAAAACACTTTTTTCTCTGATCGGAAACGGTTACCTGGCAAAAGTGGCCACTTGACATCAGAAACACACCTGCAAAATTTTTTTCCGATCGGACGATATCTTCGGTTCCCACTTTGAGGGGGAAGTTTCGGATTTGTAGGTAAATTTGGGCCATTTGCAAAACGGACTCGGATGCGCTGCTAAAGCGTCCGGATGGTCACTCGGGAAGAAAAAGACACCTTTTGTACTTCAAACAGCATATCGAGCTTCATATGTGGCCCTACTACAATACCCAGGGACCAGAAGTACGGCCCAAATTTCGTGTTTTGAGTGAAATCCATACTTTTGCTTCCCCAAGTTGTGTGTTCGTGGGGGTGTGATGTTTCAGCACTCGGACACTCTCATTCCAGGAAGGTGACATCACGGTGAAACGAACGTGACAAAAATCACGTTCGTTTGAGCGTTGTGTCACGTTCGTTTGATGAGAAAAAGCTGATTTATTACCAATTCACACCCAAACGAATGTGACAAAATGTTCAAATGAACGTAAAATTTTGTCACGTTCGTTTCAACGTGATGTCACGTTCCTCGAATCGAAGTGTCTGAGTGCTGAAACATCACACACCACGAACTCACAACTTCTGGAAGCAAAAGTGTTGATTTTACTCAAAACACGGAATTTCAGCTGAACTTCCAGTCCCTGGGTATTGTAGTAGGGCCACATATGAAGCTCGATATGCTGTTTAAAGTACAAAAGGTGTCTTTTTCTTCCCGAGTGACCATCCGGACGCATCAGCAGCGCATCCGAGTCTGTTTTGCAAATGGCCCAATTTTACCTACAAATCCGAAACTTCCCCCTCAAAGTGGGAACCGAAGATATTGTCCGATCAGAAAAAAATTTTGCAGGTGTGTTTCTGATGTCAAGTGGGCACTTTTGCCAGGTACCCGTTTCCGATCAGAGAAAAAAGTGTTTTTTCGGACCACCCTAAATCAGGGAGACTCATCCCTAGTAGTGTCATAGAACTGACAAGAATAGGCTTCTTATCACCAATAGTTTTCAAGAACAAAAATGAAACAATTTTTTTGACAATGTTTTGGACACATTTTTGGAAAACAAAATCTCATTCAACGAACGTTAATGAAAGCAGATGATACTCGTTCGTTTTGAACGAGTATGGGTTGAAATGAGTATGGGCTCATTGGTAAAGATAGTATCAGTTCATACATATACAAAATATGCATCCCCGCTGTAGCGGGGAGGGATTGTCATTGTTGCGCGGAGGCCGTCGCGCGCGAGGAGGGCGTGTCATTGTCGAATTCCGCGCGGGCTGCGCCGCAGGCACAGTCAGCCAGACGCACCATCCCGCCCCGGCAGCCAGCCCCCATTATATTGTTAGGTTTTTGGACGCTCGAGTAAAAGCTAGCTGACACCTTAATGTGTCTTGTAGTTGTAGTTTTGGGTATGTTTTTAAGTAAAGTGTCATCTGCTGAAAATTGGTTCAATATGGATGTCGCTTGATTCTCACAACCACTTACCCGTTCCTTAGGTCTATAAGAGTGAACTTCCATGCCTCTGGAGAGGAAGTAGTCGTTGAGCGAGTCCTGCGGCTTGGGGAAGCGGCACAAGAGAAGGTAGCGCAGCGACATGGACAGGACAAGTCGACCCTCGCTGACACCCGGCAGCAGCCGGTCCAGGCCCCGCTGCAGGCGCCGGCAAGTGTCTACCCAGCGGGTGACGTCATCTGCGGGGCACACGACACACTAAAACTCATGTGGAAGTTTTAGATGCATTTTCGTGAATTTTTAATGCATAATTATTGCATGTGTTAAGGGGGCTCATACATGTTAAACACACTTTGTAAAAAAAATTTTTTTGATGTAGATGGATTAAGATTTTACAATTTCTGTGTTAAAACCCTTTTAGATAATTGAGTAAGCTTCATTTTGGCTTAAAGGAAAGTGACTTTGGACATTTTTTGGAGATTTAGTCGAAACGATTAAAATTTTGGTTCTCGTAAGATTTTGTTCGCATACTTGCTCAGATCTGTGGGGAAAAAATCAGGGAGACTCATCCCTAGCAGTGTCATAGAATTGACTACAATGGGCTTTATATCTGCAATAGTTTTCAAGAAAAAAAATAAAAACAAATTTTTGTTAAAAAATTTGTTCAAAAAATTGTTAAAAAAATTGTTTTTATTTTTTTTCTTGAAAACTATTCTAGATATAAATCCCATTGTAGTCAATTCTATGACACTACTAGGGATGAGTCTCCCTGATTTTTTCCCCACAGATCTGAGCAAGTATGCGAACAAAATCTTACGAGAACCAAAATTTTAATCGTTTCGACTAAATCTCCAAAAAATGTCCAAAGTCACTTTCCTTTAAGCCAAAATGAAGCTTACTCAATTATCTAAAAGGGTTTTAACACAGAAATTGTAAAATCTTGATCCGTCTACATCAAAAGAAATTTTTTACAAAGTGCTTTTAACATGTATGAGCCCCCTTAAGGGTAAGGTCCGACTTTGGGTAATGTCGACATTACCCCGGTAATGTCCGGCGGATTCGACATTATCCACGGGCCGTGGGTAGAGTCCGACGCGTCGCACATTACCCGGGTAGTGTCCAGCGAATTTGGGGAAGGTCCGACATTACCCACGACACTACCCGGCGGGAGGTCTGAAGCGGCTGGAGGGGTTAAACAATATTTTATTCTATAATTCAATGATTTATTACTTATTCAATGATTATTTATTTTGGCATGAATTGCCGTTGTGACACGTGGAGGAGCACAGTTTCCCTTCGTCTCAGCTGCATCGGCTGTACCTTCAAATTGCTCGTCGGACGACATTTTGCAAGTGTGCAACGACAACGTATGCAAGTGTTTGCCCGGTTGCCGAGGCCACGCAAACACCTCCCGCCAACAATGGCCACTTCGGACATTACCCTAGGGCATGAGCTTGGGTAACGTCAGACTACTGTGACGGTCCGACATTACCCAGTCACCCTTGGGTAATTTCCAATCACGCCGGGTAGAGTCCGACGGACGGACATTAACCAGTGCCCTCTGGGTAGTCTCCGATCCGCCGGACATTACCCGGGTAATGTCGACATTACCCAAAAATCGGACATTACCCGTAACATATGCACAGATACGTACGCAAGGTGTGCATGACACTATGCATCAAGTGTATAAGTTACTTATCTCCGTGCTTTAAATGTACAGTGATGCACGATATAAAGCGTATCTGTGCATGCACAAAAAAATGATATATAAAGAATTCTACAAAAGTTGAGGGTAAGCTGTGCATTATAATCCTAACTGTCCACCAAGTACACATTTGCAAATGCATACTCCACACCAAATTAGTATTTTCGAGCATCGCAGGGATCCTTAACTTACCTCATAAGGGCATCATAACGTTATCATAAGAGCTAAAGTTATTACCCTTAACTTCTAACATCTTTTCAAAAGGGTAAGTAATTTTTTACGTCTCGAATTTGTGGGGATATACTTTTGCAAGTACTTTCATAAGTCCGTACCCTTAACCTATAGCGAACATTGTCTTGTTACGTTATGACAGCAGTGTTAGTTAAATGTAGAGTTAAGTTAAGGATCCCTGGTGCATCGCTTTAATCAACGTGTCTTATGCACAAAAGGTACACACACAAAATTCTTAGGAACATTTTTATGCATAGTTATGCATGCACAGATACGTCCACATGTTATGTATAATATTATGCATACTTCAAACGAATGTCCGCAGAAAAAATGTCCACTAAATTTATGTCCGTTAGGCAAAAATGTCCTGTTAAAAAATAAGCCCGTATGGGAAGAATGTCCGCGCATTAATTGGCCGCATTTTTAAATTTCCAACTATTTGTTTGTTCATAGTGACACAAATAAATGAAGTCCTTTCTCAAACACCGACCGAAACGCTTACCGGAGTCATGGAGGAGGAAGCGCGTTCCTCGCATTGTCGTCGTGTAGGGGGCATTGAGGTCGATGTCCTGAAGCAGTTGAGGGTTTCTGAACCGGCCGATGTTCTGGTGGATGTTGACGACGCGGCGGACACACTGCCTCTCGGGGAGTTTCGCCAGCACTTCCGGGTCGTCCACCGCGGCAACGGCTTGCCGGATGATCTGCGATTCCGATTGTTGAGCACCGCGACACGGAGTTTAGTGTGCACCTAGTGCGCAGTACTCACTCGCTGAGGTGCGTCATTCGGCTCCTCCCGCGCCCTCCGCTTCAGGGCTTGCATGACCTTGCGCCCCTCGATGGCCCGGTGGTCTTCTACGTGGCCGAGGTGCGCCGAAGCATCTTTCAGCAAACGCAGGTTGCTCAGGTCTGCGTTGGTGTGGACGCGAGCGTTGCAGCCCGCCCGGTCCGTGCAGCGCCAGTTTCCTGCCCGTTCTTGCTCGCAGAGTGCTGGCAGTACGGAAAGCCGTTCAGCACCAGCAGGTCCTTCCCCTTGTTGGAGAAGAGGAGCTGCGGGCCGGAGCTGGAAGTCGATGCCACGGTCTAGCCGCACCCAGTGCCCGCAAAATGGCCCGGTGCCCTCAAACAATGCAGGGCCACAGTGCCACTATTGTCGGCCCAATTCGTTCGGTGGTTCGGTGCCGAAAAAAAACTCAGGCCATTATTGGGGGCGGTCATTAAATTATGGGACATTCTACCTTGGACATTACGTGCATGGACGAAAAATCGACGGACAAAACCGGACCGGACATACCAGCGGACATTCCTTGTCTGTACCTCACAGTGTACATTTTATGCAGGAAGATTATGCATAAAATGTACACAGTGATGCAAAATTTTATAAATACCTTATGGACGTTTCTGCGCATGCATAACTTTGCATAAAAATGTATAATTATGCATTTAAAAAGTCCATAAGAATTGATCCAGGAAGCGGAAGAAGGGGTTAAGTCGAGTTGATTCGGTGACCTCTTATCAATCAGTCTATCAAGTAAACATGAGCGAAAATTTGGCCCAAAAATAAGTGTGGTGAGACACATCCCATCCTCTTGCATCTAATTTTAGACGACATTCCCCACCTGTTCTCCCACCTGCAAGGTTTAGGCCTTGCAAAAGTGCACGGATTCAACTCGACTTATACCATTCTTCCGCTTCCTGGATCAATTTGGTGTGCATAACTAAAGCAATTTTTCATGCTTAGCGGAGAACAAATTCGTACATTTCAAAACGTAACCTCAATTTGAGCAAAGCCATGCACAAAAAAACTACATGTCTACGTCAAAAAATCAGATTTTCGTTTTTGAGTTTTACGAATTCTTTGTGTCGAACCCTTGAAATTGGTGGCTGGCTGGTTTCGAAATTCAAAACCGTTTGGCCATAGGATGACCTTTTGTAATTGTTTTTCCACTGGATAGGTTAGACCGTTTGAACTTTGAAGCCATTTTACTCAATTGCAATATTTTGGGTCTTGCGCGCCCGATTTGAGCCAGACCGTTGATTGTTTCGACTCAATAATTTTTCCTATGTTTTGTCTCTATAAGGCCGTCATCTGAACTAGGATATCTTCAATCGGACCAGTAGAAGTGTCCGAAAAAAATTATTGAAATGTCTAAATTTCTTTTCTTTGTTCAGTTAGGAATAATGTAAATTTGAGGCACTTAGGAACCAGGTATTTTTATCATTCTAGTTCAATCTAGAGTGCCAGGAGTCTTCTTGAGGGAGGAACAAAGACATTTATGATATGATGCCGCATTCTCTAAAAATCATGCGCGCAGTGAATTTTTGGCGTATTTTAGTGGTTTAGTAGAAAGATCACAGATTCAAGGTCATAGGACCTAGAGTCAAACTTTTTGATTTTGAAATCAACACTAAAGAACCAGCTTTTTATTGGAAAACCCCACTAACCTTCAAATTTATTGGAAAGATTTTTTATTTAAGCCTGAAATTTGTTAAAATTTTGGTGTTAAAGACGAGTCTCCCCCCTTTAGTGTGTGTGCCACACTTGTTTGAGAGTACAAGCAGATTGTATCATTCGTTAAGAATGTTTTTAGTGTTTCGGCCTGTCGCGGATAAGCTGAATTGAGACAGCAAGATCAGACGAATACTAAACAAATGAAAACGTACCTTGCGAAGTCACTGCAGAATCCAATTGGGCGGGGGTGACGACGCAAGTCCTCAACGCCTCCAGGGCTTGAAACACCAGCGAGTGGGTGTCATGGAGCGGGCCCCTCGGGAACACATACTTCGAGAGAAATTCGGTCCAATTCCGTTCACTGAAACCTGCAGGCGCATGGAAATTCGCGTTAAAAGAGAGTCTAAACTTAATCAAACCTTAGAAAGGTAAATCCCCACATCCCAAAAAATAACAAGTTTCTGACTTGGTTCTTGGAGTCTGGCTACAGGAATAACGCAGGTGCTGGAATATATTCTCGCACTTAAGGGGAGGTTCTGGTGAAAATCTTGCCATTTTCCAAATGGATCCCACAGTCATAATTTGTTCGGAAGATAAAATTTTTCATTGAGGAGACTAAAATTTGACTTTTGAAGGCACATGCCAGGCTGTAAACCCAGTCGAAGAGTCTTTATGAGCCTATTTTGGCTGTATCTTAAAAAATCTCCATGCGCATACTATTTTGTCGTAAAAGGTTGACCTTGACATTTTTCACTTCTTCGATTCATTTTCAAAAGATTCTGGCATGCATAGCTCAAAACTTCCATTATATTATTAATTATTAACTTTTTAAGCTGAAAAGTCCCTAAAATTTGTCTATTTTGTACATTTTTGATCAATTATAGTGAAATGCTTTGTTAGAAAGCTTGCGAATAAAAATGCAATTGACATTTTGAGGTGTGCATGCCGGCATTTTTAAAAAATGAATCGAAGAAGTGAAAAGTGTCTAAGCCAACCTTTTACGACAAAATAGTATGCGCAAGAAGATTTTTAAAGTTATAGCCTAAATGGGAGAAAATGGCTCTGCCATTGGGTTCAGGGCATAGAATGTGCCTCCCCAATGAAAAATTTTAATAAATACTTGATAAGACATCAAATTTTTAACAAATTTTCACAGTGGGACCTATTTAGGAGAAAATAGCATTTTCACCAGAACCTCCCCTTAAAGGCGAATCTATTGAAAATCTTACTAAATGGGTACCGCGTTGAAAATTTGTTGGAAAAATGAAGTGTACCTTACAAAAAAAGGGGGGAGTGAAACTTGTCATTTTTTTCATGCTCTTTTAGTCTCCTCACGGTCTCCCTGACATTACAATGGACATCACCATTCCATTCTCCATTCAGGTGATTATACGAATAATAAGATCCCTATGCCCAATTGACAGTGCTGTGGGTCAAAATACGGTGTCTGAAAACACATCTTACTTTCTAACCAGTAGAAAAGACTCTTTTGTTCAGACAACAGAAACTACGAGTTCCCTCTGTTTTCAAGCGTAAGACAACAAAGTGCGTGACAAAGCTCATCCGCCCAGATTTCCCTAAACTTAAATAGATGAGGAATTTCAAATTCACTCTACCAAAAATGTCCTGTAAATGCCGTTAATTTATTACCAGTTTTCACTGTAGGTCGATTCACAGCGTTTACTGTGATCTGCTCACGGGATTCACTGTGATCTTGTTCGCGGTGTTCACTGTGATCTGGTCCCCAGTGAACACTGTGAGTTTGACGCCGCTGAGCACCGAAGTACTGCAAATCAGGCTCCAATTCACGGCGTTTACTGTGGCCAGATCACAGTGAACACTGTTACCGAGATCACAGTGAACGCCGTGAACTAGTTCACAGCAAACGCCGTGAATTGCATAACAGCAAATATTGGTATTAAATTAACGGCGTTGACAGGACATTTTTTGTAGAGTGTTTATGCCGCATTTTAAGCGTAACTCAATGCTTGACTCGAACCTACAGTTACGCGTCAGTATTATGTATGAGGTTGTCGCACACTGTTACCTGATGCGGTGAAAGGCTGCACCAACATGGTGGAGATTTTCTCGATAATGCCAACGAAAATCGTGAAAATCTCTGAACGGTACAGTGAATTCTCAATGGTATGTTAGGAAGTCAGCCGCACCACCATAATATGGAACATTTTCACCATAATATGGAGAATCTTCACTGTATGACATTTAGAGTGCACTTTCTGCTGTAGGTTTTTTGACTCACATTGTTCCAACTCCTGCCTGGCCGCCTTGGTGAGTGCGTCCACTTGGATCTCCGACATTGTCTTGCCGCACGCCTCACACTTCCACTCCTGGAAGTCCCAGGTCACAGCGATCACGTAAGAAAGCTTGCCGTTCTCTGCAAAACAACAACAACTCCTGAGGGGTGGTTCGAAAATCTGGGATTGAGCGGGCGACGCACTGCTATCCACAGTTGCAATGCTTTCACGGTAAAAACGGAACCTGGTTTTCCCAGGATGCCAATGGTGAAGGTATAGGCGATTGGAGGCTCCTGGGAAAACCAGGAACCGTTATTACCGTGTTCAACACAAAATCGTGTGGGATCATTGCTCTTAAGATGCAATAATTTTTGCTCTTAAGATGCAATAATTTTTCCATTAAAAAGTTCTGCTGTCATCACCGCACATTTCTGCAATGAAAAGCAAAATTTTCGCATAACAAAATACAATGACGACAACACAAAATTTGCAAATCGTTACAAATTTTTGCGATGACAATTGCAAAATTCTGCGATACAGCAGCTCAGCACACTTATTCGCAATGATCATCACAGAAAAAAGCGATGAAATTTGTACTGTGCAGAAAAGAAAATACTGCACTGCAAGAAAATACCACAACAAAAGTCCACAAATTACTGGCAAATTTTTTATCAGGAATTTATTGTACTTTCAAAGTACAACAATTGTTGTACAAAGCACAATGGAACCGGCATGACGAGTGCTGGGCAGTCCAGGCCTCATTGTGGTTTGTAACATTCTCGTTATACTTTATACAATCCCCGTTGTACTTTTGTTGTGCAGTTTTTGTTGTACTTTTGTTGTACTATTCACACTTTTTCTTGCAGTGTGCGCACAAACTACACTTACCAGCACACGAAGGGCAGCAGGGCGAGCCCACATACATGCCCAGCTCGGTGGGGTCCCTGCAGCGAGCGCACCAGCACACCACGCCCCGCTTGAGGCTCACGTGAGTACGGCGGCGACGGGAGTCGTCCCACCATCTGGCGCGCTGAAACAGAGAGGGTGCATCGAGGTGTATCACTGCAAATTACGTCAAAAGCGAGGAGACTTCGCTCACACTAATCCACTATATACTTATTTTGTGCATAAGCTTTTGAGCCAAGATGAATTTCTCATTATTAACTTTCATTAAATCGTTTATACCATCGGAACAAATAGTTCTGAAAAGGGGACTTGAAAGTTCTGGAAAAAATAAGCCTGATGCTGTGTCAGAAAGTGATTTTCAAATTGATTTTTCTCAAGATTTCACCAACGCCCTTGAAAAAGAAACGCGAGGTTTGTCGAGTGACGGTGATGAGAGCTTTAAGAATACAAAGAGCAGTGTGTGGGACATGTACTTTTGATGATGATGTCAAGCAGAAGAAAGCAGAGAGCCGAGGGGTGAATCACTAGTGTACTCATGTGTACAAATTTGCCCGTTCTCAGTGTACTCACAAGTTCAAAAGGGCGAAAATCACTAGTTTTGCGACCCATTTGGCGTTGAGGGCCGTTCAAAACTCTAAATAAAGCCTTATAATGTTACCAAATGTGAAATTTATGAGTAAAACAAGGTGTACTCACCCGTACTCATGTACTCATGTGTACACTAGGACGCTGAGTGATTCACCCCTCGCAGAGAGCACAATACTCGTTCTATGAACATGACCGAACGGCGATATGAGAATAAAGAAGGACTAAAAATACAACAGAGTAACAAACACTCCACGCTGACTTTAGTTCCACAAGACTTGTCTCCGAAGTGCACTTAAAAAGCGTTAAAAAGGAAATTTACAGGATACCGATGCGATGTCTGAAGGTATCACATTGTCTTTTTTCATCACTGCTAATTGTATGAAACTTATCTCATAAGAAACACAAGTGTGGGTTTAGAAAAGGCATCAGCCTTCACAATCAACTTTTAATCTTCAATGTGCAATACTTGGTATTTCTTGGTATTTCTAACAACAAACTTTCACTGAAAAGAAAGTAAGATTGCCTCCAAACCCTCTCCAAGTTTGCGTTGTGACATGAACCAGAAGGGTGCGAGATGCACACACAATGCATCTGCAGTGACGGAGGCCTGTTTAGCATCAACCTCCTGGGAAACTCACCAACTCCGTGAGGTGCTCCCCCGCTGCCACGTCCCTTGATGTCACCGTGACGTACTCCCGGGAGTTGAGGCGGTCGTCCAGGGGCAGCTGCGCCGTGTTGGGGATACAGCTGGGCTCCATCAAGGAGGAGCCCACGAACAGGCCCCAACAAGGCTGTGAAAATAACCACGAGATTAAAATCATAAGTAAGATGGAAGGTAGCTAGACCAGGGATGATACCCAAAACGAAACAAAACCGGGCCGCTACGACATCAGTTCGCATTCCCCGACGGGAACACATTGTTGCCCCAACGTTGTCCCCAAGGTGCCGTACGTTGCCTACGTTTCGGGCCCGTTTACGTTGTCTGCCGTCCTTGGGGCAACCAGTCCGCATCCGTAGGTTGGCCAGATCACGTCAAATCTGATGGGAGAGAACGGACCCGCATCAAGGTTCATTAGGAAACAACGCCGCGATATTGCTGTCATATTCCCGACTTCCCGTTTCCAGCCCCACGGTGCTGCGACGTTGCCTGCACTAATGCATTGCAACCCGAATGTGCCGATGTCGCCGCCACGTTGCCCCAAGTCTAGTCTTCCTTCCACGTAACTCTGTCATGCGTCCTGGGGCAACGACGTCCGTTGCGTAGGCTCGTCACCAAACGTAGCCCTGACGCTAAAAGGTCTGCATTCAGGAAACACCATACTTGCTGCGATTGCCAGTTGGCCGATTGTTCAGCGCCACGTGCCTGCGTGTGTGCCTCGCGACGTACTGGTGGCTACGAATTGCCATGTCGCGCCAGTTAATCGGTCTCCCACGTCTCTGGCCACGACCCAACGCCACGTGCTAGCGCCGTCCCACCTGCCTGACGTCTAAAAGATTCGAAACCGATCCTATGGCGCCCCATGGCATCAGCGACACAAAAACTCGGGTGCCGTCGGACTACTTGCTTACGTTGCTGCCCATAACGCCGCCGGCCAACTACGCCAGCCAACCTTCCCACCTAGCTATCGCCATGCCACGTTGATTCGCCGATCCTATGGCGCCCCCATGGCAACGACACAAAAACAAGCTCTTCCTATGTTTGTTTTAATTGGCCTAGAAGGCCTCCGCCACGGCCCTTTGGCAGCCGAACAAAAAGGAAATGCATGTCGTACCACATCTCCGATATGCCTTTCCTACCATCATCATGATCATTGCTGCTAGGCCACTGCAGACTCTCAGCTGTTTGGGCAGGGGCCATTAGCTTATCGATGACGCTAAACGGAGTGAACCCTTTCGCCTAAGTTCGACAGTGCGCCCAGGATGGTCACTTCACAATGTTGCTGTTCGCTTGCCGCTCCAACCAGACGCTGTGGCAACACTGGCAGACGGTCGTAAGCATCCCTACCCGATCGGGCGGCACTGGCAGTAGTGCCGAGCTGGGGACCTCTGGTGCGTTGTCGCACCTCACTCAGTGAGGTCCGGTGCGTGCCGACACAACAGCGGCAAGCAGGCGGGCAGTCATCGTGCCGCCGCACTCGCACGGGAGTGGTGCAGCGCGCGAGCGCGTCGAGCTGGCCGTTGCTGAAACCTAGGTTTCTCGCAGACAGCGTTTTGGATGCACTCAGATCAAAACACAAAATATCTGGGGTGTTTGCCACATTTGTTGCATACTTACGGGCGTTTTCGTCACAGTTTTGGCCCGCAGAATGTGGAATGTGTTTAAAGTTTGTACAATGAATGTGGAGAGTTGTTCCTCCGCGCTTACACTGAAAGAGTCACCACCATCACCCTTTCATTGGGAACGCACGCACCGTTGCCCAAATTTGGGTGACGAGCCCGCGGTGACCAAATTTTGGGCAGTCATAAAATCGTCGCCCAAATTTGGATAACGCCGTCGGCGACGCCGTAAGGTCCCCGATGACGCTCTTCCGGGGCCACCACGATGACCCAATGTGGCGTTGAGGCCTCGGTCATCGTGGTGGCCCCGGAAGGACGCCATCGGGAACCTCACGGCGTCGCCCGGCGTTACCCAAATGTGGGCGACCAAACGCCTGTTACCAAATTTCGGGTGATGAATTTTTCGTCACCAAAATTTGGGCAACGAAGTTGCATCACCCGAGGGTGATGGTGGTGACCAATTCATTCTGTGTAGACACCGGTATCTTGAGATGCTTATGTCGGAGGAACCACGGTGTCCCACGAACAGTGTTTCAAATACCTTCAATAGCCATAAGGCTAAATATCAGCATTTGTAAATGCTTAAAAGAGTCTTTCTAAAGACTGTAAACACCGGCATCTTTAGTGTCGGAGAAAATGTGGGAGCTTCAGGGTTCAGCCCGGGTTTTCCTGCGGTGGCTTCGAGAGCTCGCTCCGAGACGTCGTGCCGAAGGAACCTGAAGCTGAAACCACGGTTTCCCACACTCTACAAACTGAAGTGTGTACTCAGTATGCATCTACAGATGCATACTTATAAGTACACACCTACAGATGCATACCTAGCTGAGTACACATCTACAGATGCATACTTGGCTGAGTACACATCTACAGATGCATACTTGACAGGTATACATCTGTAGATGTGTACTCAGCCAAGTATGCATCTGTAGATGTGTACTTGATACTGGGCATTTATATAGTGACAAGTACGCACCTACTAATGCATACTTGCCAAGTATGCACCTGCATACTTAACAGGTATGCATCTGTAGATGTGTACTCAGCTAGGTATGCATCTGTAGGTGTGTACTTATAAGTATGCATCTGTAGATGCATACTGCATGAGTACACACTTCAGTTTGTAGAGCAGTGTTTCCAATACCTTCAAACCAGCCATTAGGCTAAATGTCAGCATTTGTAAATGCTTGAAAGAGTTTTTGTAAAGACTGTAAACACCGGCATCCTAATTAGATGCTAATGTCGGAGAAAATGAGGGAGCGTCTGGGTTCAGCCCGGGTTTTGCCTGCGAGGGCTACGAGAGCTTACTTCCACCCGAAACTCCGACGAAGTCCTGGCCCATAGGCCCCGATCCGACCCGGACCCGGCCCTGACCGGGCTGACCGGCCACGCTGTTTAGAGTGCACTACCCGAAGACTGGCCTACCGTGAGTCCGGCAGAACCCGCCCCAGCTGGGGCTCGGACTAACGGTGTAGGGACACCTGCACTCTTTCCGGACTCGGCGGGACTCTGCCGGGTCTTAGCCAAGGCTTGCCGGATTCATGCAGGGCGACCGGGTGTCGGCCGGGTCTTGGCCGGGTCGGGGTCGGATCGGGGCCACTTCGTCGGAGCCTAGGGCAGGCGCGGCGAATGAAGCGAGGCGACACGAAAATCGCCTAAGTCGCAGCGCAGTCACACAAAGACTGGCCGGGATAGGCGGCTCGCACTCACGGCGTCTTGGTCGCCGCGACGCGTTGGCAGAGAAAGGACATACACTAGTCAATCTCATCTTAAAACTCGCCTTGAAATACAGCATCGCATGCAGACAGAAAGCCGATGAGGAAGCCCTCCTCCTCCCCAGCGCAGCGGGACAAAGGCAAAGAAGACCGCATGGTCCAGCATCTCAAGTTCGTGCCCGGAGCCCCTGGCGGCCGGGGGATAGGCAGCCCACCAAGCACCTCTGCTAAACAAGCTGCCCAGCGCCCGGCGTTCATCTGCAAGCGGAGGCATCACTCAGCTGCAGTGCAGCTAAGGCGAGCTAGTGTCGGGCCCATCCGATCATGTGTCGCCAAGCCTGTCTCTGCTAAACATGCTGCCCACCCGTGTGGAGCAAAAGTCTGTAAAGTTGTCGTAGATTTGTCGTAAGTATTCTCACTGTGAATAAACATCAAATAAACGACGAAATAACGACAAATGCGTTTGTCGTTAAACAGCAGATAAATTCGAAGGTTTTTGCCTGCTTGTCTGCCTGTTGTCTGCTCCAGAATGCGTGTACATGGCGTCAGGGCCGCGGACAGGGCACTGGCGCTGGAGCACCGGCAGGGTGTCAACTTTGGGATTCAATAACTGTGCACAGGTCTTATTTTGTGCATGGCCGCCGGCAGAGAGCAGCATTGGGTGGAGGTGGGAGGGTATTGACCCCACCATTGAATTGCTTTCCAAACGAGGAATCCATTGGTGGGGTCACATGGTGTCGAGCGCTACCAAAATTTCGAATTCCCGGATCTTTCCCGGATTTCCCGGCCTATTATCGTCCTAATTCCCGGATATTTTCAACCAAATACTGACTGTTTTGGGGTGTAACAAAAAGAAAATTCACCAAAAAAACTGATAAACTTGATGTAAATTTACATAGAACTCACACAAACGTACAACTGCTAGCAACATAAAACTCACAGGGACGCCAGCGCAACTATCGCTTTCAAACAATGAAAAAGCGAGACATATTTGGGTTTAAAGTGACTGAAAAGTGAGAGTTTGCAGGCCGAAAGAGGTGAGAAAATTTAGCATAAATTCACCAAAAAAGTGACGATTGGGGACTTTTTGTCTGAGAAATCGCCATAATATAGACGTTGTGTACCAACGAAAAAATTATAAAATGTAGAGGTGCCAAGCTCGGCTGGTATGTCCGGGCTACACTCGGAGAGACTTAAAAAGCTGTAGCGGCAGTTTTGGCGAGCGAAGCGAGCTTCAAGCTGATGCCTCGTCACCCCTGTGATACTCAATTTTTGTACATTCCAGCCCTTCTGCGGCCCACTTGGGTGCAGTTTTGGCGAGCGAAGCGAGCCAAAGCCAAGCGCCTTTCAACCTTGGATCTGTGTTAAATTGGCAGCGAGTCAAAGCATTTTAGCTCCCCAAAACTTGCTCAAATTTGAAAATGTTGCGAAAGTTTATGACCCAAACTACCAAAAAAGTGAAAATAGTGACTTTTGAGGTCAAAAAGTGAGCAAATTCACTATTTCGTTTTGAAAGTGAGAAAAGAGGGCCGCTAGCATCCCTGAAGTCAGCTGACCGGCCACAGCCACACAATGCGTTACCGGTCGCCTCGGCCCGCGCACACTGTTAGAAATTAGCTCCGAAATTTTATGGAGAAAAACCCTATAATCACGTACATGGAGACTCCATTCATTTTCCATTTTTTTTCGGAGAGATTTTCTCAGGGCTTAAACAGATGTTCTTGAGAGCATTACTTGGGTCCTGATGGGGGGGTAAAATGCATGTCTTTTCTCAGAATGGTTAAAGAGGGCTACGCTGAAGC